TCATGACAAGCATTATATGAATTGTCACAATAACCAATTAACTGACTCAGTTCTGGGTGTGTGTGTGTGTGTGTGTGTGTGTGTGTGGTGTGTGTGTGTGTGTGTGTGTGTGTGTGTGTGTGTGTGTGTGTGTGTGGTGTGTGTGTGTGTGTGTGTGTGTGTGTGTGTGGTGTGTGTGTGTGTGTGTGTGTGTGTGTGTGTGTGGTGTGTGTGTGTGTGTGTGTGTGTGTGGTGTGTGTGTGTGTGTGTGTGTGTGTGTGTGTGTGTGTGTGTGTGTGTGTGTGTGTGTGTGTGTGTGTGTGTGTGTAAAAGTGATGGATACATCACAACTTATAGAAGAAATAATCAGCAGACTAATCATAGTGAAAATGGCCATTGCTTGCAGACTACATGCCTCAGGGTCAGGGGAAAGTGAAGGGGGCCGATCAATGTGATGCCTCGGCTTAAGCTGATCAACTACTGTGACTGTTTCCGGTCTGAGGATCTGAAAGTTGTGAGAGAGGTAAACTGTCCAAAAGTTTCAAATGGGCATTAAGACAGAGAGTGAAAACAAATATATTCAGACCAACATGTGCAATGTTCCAGGTGATTGGTTACAGGAACGAGTTGATGCATTCCTGTGAGTTGCGTGTGAAAGATGAATGGATGACACACTTTCAGAATGCTTTGAAGAAGCTCAAGCGGCCGATCAGCAAACGGCATCAGATGGCAGCATTTGGAAAACAGATCGAGGAGGTGAGCATGTTTGGATTTAGATTAGAACCTCTTTATTTGTCACACAGTGAAATTGGACCTCTGCTTTTAACCCATCCTACTAGGAGCAGTGGGCAGCTATTGTGCTTGCCCGGGGAGCAATGGGGTGGGGTCCAGTGCTTTGCTCAAGGGCACCACGACAGGGCCCAGGTGGTGAACTGGGACCTCTCCAAGAACAAGTCCACAGAGGCCTGTTCGGGGACTTGAACCGGTGACCCTACGGGTCCCAGGCCAAGACCCCACAGACTGTCTGTACGGCTGCTGCGAAAGCTGTTAATGTGCCTCTTTAGTATCAAATACGTTTATCTAGTTGATCAAAAACCTATGTTTTTGTTGTTTCAGTCAAACATGATGTTATCCGATGTGATCCACTCAAATTGGACCCGGCTTGCGACCTTGAGACGGACGGCTGTACTTAAAAAAAAGGGAAAATTGAAAAGGGAATGGAAGGAGATTAAATAAAGGAGATTTATAAACACAATTATTTTGTCTCGTCTTTTATCGTAAACTACTGAGCATGTTTATATAATAATAATAATAATAATAATAATAATAATAATAATAATAATAATAATAATTCCTTACATTTATTATAGCGCTTAACAGATGCTCAAAGCGCTTTACAAATACACATTACACATATACATACATACATGCAATGGTCACCACTGTGGACAATACCCACAGGAGCAAGTTCAGGTGAAGTGTCTTGCCCAAGGACACACCGGCTTTACAGACGCAGCAGCGGCGGGTTTCACCCCTTGATCTGATGATCACAGCGCACTGCGCCACACCGTCCATCTTCACGCCTCGAAGTCATCGAGGCGCTTTTACAAGTACACATTGATATCATACATGTACTGTGGACATTACCCACCCGAGCAAATCCGGGTGAAGTGTCTTGCCCAAGGACACAACAGCCTGACGCAGTGTATATGTCGTCACAGTTAGTGTTTGAGAATCCAATTAGGACAGGATTTGAATTTAAAACATGTTTATGTTATGTTAAAGTCGTCTTTGTATTGTGTTTCAAAAGTATCTACTGTTATTGGCATGCTTATTGATTATCAGGACTTTGTTGGCCGAATCAGAACCTTATATTTATATATTTGATATGGATCCAGTACTAGAGGTAATAAGGCTCTGCCTATTTGTTTGGAGCAGTGGCTCAAGCTATTTGGTCATTGTTCCCAATAAGTAAATCACAGCTGCAGCCATGTTGTTTCGCATCAGTTTGTGTGACTGTGAGTTCTGTTTGTCCAGATGCTGTCTGCTGATTTGTCAATACGTGTCTCGGGTTTGGACTTCACCGATTCTACCGTCATGCATGGATTAGAGCGTGATTCTGTCAGCCAATGGGAGCCCAGCGCTGACTTAATCAGCCAATGGGAAGCTGAGTTGCTACAAGAGAGGCTGCAGGAGTTACTGCACGCTGCTGATCACGATACACAGGTGCAAAGAACATTCACATGCACACTTATCGAAAGACGTCACATGACTTGGACCGACTCTGTTCCCTCCTCAGGACACTGAGCAGCTGAAGAGTCTGAGCAGCTTCCTGCCGGCCGACAGAGATCTGGGAGAGAGGTTTTCTGCAGAGCTCCAAGCCATCGACTCACTGCAGGCCGAAGAATAAGAAGGAGGGGAGGTGAAAAAAGGATTATGAGCAAATTGTGCAATATCATTTTATATTTACTAAGTCGAGGTCAGAATGTACGCAGGTTAGCACGATAGTTAGTATTTAAAATAATAAGAATGTAAAAGAAAATCTGACAGAAATGTGTGGGAGAGAAACTCCCCCTGCAGGAGCTTTGGGGTGTAAGTCTTTGCAGACCATTGAAATTCACCAAAACCTTTATAACACACAACAGGAAAGGGAAAGCCCCAAAAGCGTAATAGGCCCCCTTTAAAAGTCCAAATTGTAAATAAAGATGGAATTGACAGTTACAGTTGTTTACAGTAGTTGTGTAAAAGCACAGGCTGTACTTATCACATACTTGAAATCTAAGCTTGTACATTTCCAGTCTAAAGTATCTGCAAAGTATTCAACCCAACATTGAATGTGTAAAAAAGATAATAAACAACTCTGACCCATAATTGTAGGAAGTACCATTTGACTTGAACCCACATTGATGTTCAAAAACAAGCTCAGTCTGATTTTATCACTGCTTTTAAACTTCTCCTTGACCTTTTTTTTTAACACAATTGCGAGAAAAAAAAAAGTCTGCTCATTCTCTTCCTGTCTGATATTGCCTTACACATAAAAGAACGTCCCTAGTCATTTTTACACAGCTTATACAAGGGTATACAATAAACACTGACCCTGGATCTGTTCTTGGTATCGGCCGGTACCCAATAAAACATGGACAGAAATGTGTCATGCTAGCTGGTCTATGTTTAAAGTAATTTGTTGGGAATTTATGTAATTTTACATTTTTGAATTATGTTTTGAAACCCACTTGATTTAGCTTATTAGCTAAGGGTCTGCTTTATGAAACAGCTTTATTAACCCTGTTCAGGTTGACTGACTTGTTGCCTTTAACAGACAGATAGGATTACATCTATTGAAAATGCCAAAATGGTGTACATGGCTCTACTGGCGCCCATGTTCACGATAAGGGACTTTCAAAGTTGATTTCAATATTGTTGTTTTCGAATTTCATTAAACTGGTTTGGTGCGCCTCCAAACACTTGTGTCTGTATTTGTGTTTTCTCTTGTCTAAATGTTGAGTTATGCTTTTGCTGTTTTTGTCCTGTGTAGGCTCCCATTGGAACACCATGTATAATCAGGATAAATAAATAAAATCAGTCCAAAGGAGCACACGATATAACAACATATCAACTTTAATTATTATGCAAAAAAAAAAAAGCGCTGCATTGACATTTCAGGTTCATTTAACTCAGGGGCGTCAAACTCAATTTAATCGCGGGCCACATCAGCATTATGGCGTCACTCAAAGGGCCGGTTGTAACTTTAAGACTATATAAAAATGCATATATAAATATATAAAATAATGTATTGTAGAGGAAACTTCTGTGTAGCATGCAGTGGAGTCACCGACTCAGGAAGGAGACACGGGAAGAGTCGGAGCTTTGATGTCAAACCACTGTGATTTATTTGGAGTTGGTACCAGAGTATTCACATCACAAATCCAAGAGTCAGAGGTTCTGACTTCACGGTAGAGTTGCCACGTCAATTCTGGAGAGCCTCTCTCTTGCCAGCCCATCTAACTGGTTTCGCAGAGAGTAAACAACATATTTGAGGAGATAGCCTAAACAGTGTGGGAACACAGAGCTACTCGCCTCGGACACTTATGACCTCGAAGATTTCACCTTGGAGTCCACAAATACAGAGAAGGAAGTGTCCCAGTGTACCCACAACACAGACCATCTGTATCCCAGTATTGACCGGTCACAGAATGGGAACAATAACATTATTGGCTAAGCCGCCTGTGTCCTTAAAGAAGGTAAACAGACATCGAGGTTTGTCCTGTATGTTACTAATTGGCGTCTTATGATAATTATTTCCACAACATGTATTATATTACATGATTGCCTCTGCATTGGATTATTATTGGATTGGGTAATAACTTCATAATTAACTACGTCTGAAAGCAGAAGTCTGGGGTAAATAATTGCAAGTCACAAGTCACACAAGTCACAGTGTGCACGTCACAAAATGATTTAAAAAGAAAAGCCACATTCTGGAAAAAAGGTCATTTGTGACCTTTCTTTTTAAAGGAAGTGACATTTAAAAAAAAGTTACATTTAAAAAAAAGAGTCAAATTCTGAGAAAAAAGTCAATTTGAGATGCATTGTGGGACATGTAGTTTATGGGTAACCGTATAATAAACATGTAATATTCTTTGCAAGCTCTTGTGGGGCCACAGAAAATGAAGTCACAGGCCGGATTTGGCCCCCGGGCCTTGAGTTTGACACCTGTCGGAGTCAGGAGGCCTGTTAACTTATTCCGGCAAATGACTCAGACCTACTAACTGACCTGACCGAAGTTATTGAGTCTATGTAAGTTTACTGCTTGGCTCAGATCCACCAACGTCAGCAACATCTCACCTACTAACTCCTGAAGAACCAGGTTCAATGAACTGCTGTTTCAATTCAGACGACCCGCTAAATCTGTTGAAGCGATCCCGAAGGATTTTGATATCAGCAAATGAGGTGTGGCCCTACCTAAGTGTGAGTGTGGCAGGGTGCAGTCTTACCTTAGAAGCAGGAGAGGAGAGCACAGATGTCTTTTAAGTTTTCCCAATCCAAAAGGTGGGATCAGTTTATTTGAAGAAAAATGGGTCCACACTTATACAGGGTTTTACCTTCTCTCTTTACAACATGACAATCATACAGAATATTTCATGCTGTGGTCAATTACTAATATGAAACCTCAATTCACAGTCTGACATTTATTACACTAAATTGTGACTTCAACTGCCCAATTCAGTTGTGATGTTAAAATCTCCGAACAGAATTTAGAGGCATCTCCTCGTAAAAGACCGGTGATAAAAACCACATTCAAACTTTCATTCAACAAATCAATTCACATACACACCTATGTCCAGCATGAATTCTGAGGGATTTCCTCACAGGTGGCTGGGTGCTAAACATTCAACAAATCAATTCACTCAGCATTCAACAAATCAATTAGAGAGATATTTACAAAGGTTGAGAGAACCTTACCGAGGAAAAAACCCTCTCTTATCAGTGACACCCAGTAACTAAAATAGGCCTTAAACTCAACTTAACAAACCCCTTGTGTTTTGAATATACTGTGATTATAGAAAAACATGAAATATAATGCATTTTCATTGTGGGTTATACAAGAATATATTTGATTATAATTAACTTTCGTTTGAATTACTCTACCTAATATGGAGACCTCAACACACCCTGATTTATAGTACGTTTAGGCAGAGTGTTTTTCAACCAAGCTCTTTAACTGACATTTCCCTTTTGTTTAAATTAAAGAACAAAACAGTAAACAGGTCAATGACCAAGCAAGGTAAAATTATTATTATAAGTATTATAACATAAAAATGCACAATGCCAAGCGTATACCTGAGGCGTTTTTTTTAAATGTGTCTTTCAGCTTTCACAATGTCTTGCCAGGCGTTTGCTCCATGTCCTCCACCTCTGTGACCTCCTCCGCAGGCTCAGCTGACTGGGTAGGGTGGAAGAACTATTTACACACAAAAACATTGAAACAATCATTACACAAGTCAGTGGTTGTGGTTAGATGTTACGTCAGGTTTACAGTATGTACTTACATTGAATGAGTCATTTTTTTGCAGGAAATGTTTGTACTTTTGTGGGGGGCGAGGAATCGGAGGAAACAGAACCTTAGACAGCCTGAAACACGCAAATAGAAACAAATGTCAGTACACATTTTGGTCAAACTGACATTTTTAAAGGGGCCTTTTCAGGCTTAAAGGGGTTTTCTCTAACCTGTAGTGTGTTATACAGGTTGAATGCATGTAAATGATCTGCAAAGGCTCAAATTATGTGTTCTTTGATGCTTTTGAATCTGCTCAATACTAGATAATTACCGTATAGCACACAAAATAAATAGAACAAAGTATTTTATTATAATGACTTATAAGGTCTACGATGAGTGGTCACTCACTGACACTATACACGATTAAACAAAAATCACTTAAATCACTCTATAAGTAATATAAAAACCAGCGACCAGCGATTATAAAGTATTATGTAAAATGATTATGATTGCTTAAAGCTGATGAGCCCCACGGGCAAAAACGCAACATCTGCAAGAAACAGCAAGAAGCGTCAAAATTAGCCCTGAGCGAAAAAATGCTAACGCACTTAGCACAGATCTCGCGGCAGGGGAAGCAAACCCAGACATCACACAACGTAGCTTTAGGGAGCCAAAACGGCAAATGTCTGACCGTTGCTGTTTTTCTGATCAAAAGTTGTGTTCAATGGCATTAAAACACTAAAGCGCTGCTGAAGGTTAATCCAATGTGTCTGTGTCACTTTGAAATGAAAGGTTTTCACTATAAGTTTTTTGGTCGGACACTCTAATTTACATTACATCATGCTCGGCCCCCTGAGCCGCGGTCTTCGCCCTCGAGCCCGGCCCCCTGACTCTTCCTGCCGCTGCCTTCGCCCTCATGCTCGGCCCCCTGACTCTTCCTGCCGCTGCCTTCGCCCTCATGCTCGGCCCCCTGACTCTTCCTGCCGCTGCCTTCGCCCTCATGCTCGGCCCCCTGACTCTTCCTGCCGCTGCCTTCGCCCTCATGCTCGGCCCCCTGACTCTTCCTGCCGCTGCCTTCGCCCTCATGCTCGGCCCCCTGACTCTTCCTGCCGCTGCCTTCGCCCTCATGCTCGGCCCCCTGAGTTCGCCCGCTGTGGTCTTCGCCCCTCCATGGACTCTGCCTTGCCCCTGGGCATTTTTTTTACTATGTTCAATTCATTTTTTTTACTATGTTCAATCTGAATTTACTTTAAAATAAAAACATCTATATTGATTCTGACTCTTCTACATCCAACTCACAGGTTTATCATTACTTTGAGAAAACAGATTATTAATGTCCCCCTATTAGACGTGAAGATATGGTAATTTGTTCTGGGAAGGTCATTTTCGTTCTGTCTTAACCGCAAGCACCCATACTCTTTTACTTCTCTTTTCTTATAACTTCCCCCAATCTGCTGACATCGTTGTTGTCGTCTGTTTGACACTGTTTCACATTTAGAAGACAGGACAGAGTGTCTGTTGTCAGATTAGAAGCAGAATAATATAAAATAGTCTCTCGGGAGCTGTACAGATGTGAGCGTGTGCGTCTCACACACCAATCATCATGCTTTAGTTATTCAGCGGGAGACAGAAACAGTACCTCTGATGGCGCAGCAGCAGCAGCACAGCCAGGAGGATCATGGGTATTCCAAGTGAAATTGAGACGATCACTAGATTGTTGAGTTTGGACTGTTCCACAGCTACATGCACACCAAAAGATGACACAAATTAAACTTGTGTGTGGATGGATGGGGGTGATTTAAAGATGTGAAAAGCCCCACTCACTGACAGCATGGCTCCATTCACTCCATTGAGAAAAGACCGCACAATATTCGCCCTTCCTTGTCCTCATCGTCACTCTGTAGGTGGAGGAGGGATCTACATTGGGCTCTCGATAGGACAGCTGGTCACTGAACTTTTTGGGTGTTTCCTGTTTAAAAGAAAAAGGATCAAGAAAATAATGCACTTAAAGCTAAAAAATATTAACACTTACTAAGATGCCCTGGTCTATAATGCATTATAACCAGGGGTGCACATAACTTTTTTGCCCTGGTTCTCAAAGGAGCACCTGGAGATGTTGCTTGGTGCTCATCCTTAAAATGAAATAAATAAACCGGTCTTTATTTGTCAGACACACGGCACAGAACACACAGAGGTGAACACAGAACACACGTGCAGAGGTGAACACAGAACACACGTGCAGAGGTGAACACAGAACACACATGCAGAGGTGAACACAGAACACACGTGCAGAGGTGAACACAGAACACACATGCAGAGGTGAACACAGAACACACGTGCAGAGGTGAACACAGAACACACGTGCAGAGGTGAACACAGAACACACATGCAGAGGCGAACACAAGACAACATTAGCACGACCAGTAATCCTACAAGCTGTCATCACTACCCTCCTGACTGTTCTCCTCACTGTCTTCCTCTCTGTCAGACATGGTAGCTAATGATGTAGGCCTACTTCTTTCTCTCTGGTTGAGTCTGCGATTAGCTGCTTGCATCCACAAGTCAACAGCTGGGTTTGGGTCGAAAGTCCAGTTTTAAAAGGATATTTTTGGTTACTGTCCTATAGTATACATTGGAATGATTTCAAACCTGTTTATCCCAATAATTATAAAGGAGTGCCTTGAAAATATGTGTTTACATAAATTGTGACCAAACCGTTTGAACTTAGACTAAAGTGAACTATCTAAACACTCAAGAGTCCTTTACCTCACTGAGCTGTAGTATCAGCCTCTCAGTCTGACTGGAGAGGACTCTCCCTCCACATCATTGTAGAAAGATCTTCTTCTTCCGTTAGTGCAGCTAGCACCAGATTCTAATAACAACAGCGCCGGTACCGGTGCACCCTCCCTCTCTCCCTCGCTCACTCGCATTTTGGCTGTGAGCTGCGGGCGCCAGATAAGCCAACATCCCCCATTTTCATCACTTACAGCGCCCATCGTACAGGGCAAATGAAACGTGTAACCGGGGTGAAAAGGGTGTTACATTTACTTCATTATGAATGTTGTTACATCAAGGCCGAAAATTAGGATGAGCACCAACGGTCAAAAATGTTTGTTTCCCTCCCAGAACTACCAGCGCAGCGCCTCCACAGATCTGGCGCCCTAGGCGAAAATCAACGCCAGTGCGACGGGCCGGCCCTGAGTTCATATGCAACTCGCAAATATCTTTCTCTCTCTCTCTCTCCTCTCTGCTCTCTTCTCTCTTTTCTCTCCCTCTCTCTCAATGTTGATACGCAAATGCGCCTTTTTTCAAATGACCCGGTGCTCTTTTTTTTGGCCGAGGTGCGCATGCGCACCTGCGCACCAGTTATGTGCAGCCCTGATTATAAACATACTTATTTGTTGTTATAGCACTGTTATTATTGTTGAAAGGACTTTTAAATTATGCTTTATAACAATAATCTAAAAATGATAAAGTATTTGATATTGACTTATAAGATCTATGTTATAATACTGTAGCGATCCTGATAGGCTACTCAGGGTGTCACTTAGGCATCCCCCGTCTCTCTGCCAATCATAGAGCTGTACCGTGATGGTGGCTGAGATGCGGGCCTGTGGTTGGTGGAGCGGACGGGGGAGGGCGGGGAGTTGTGACGTAGACAGTGCTATATATGGGTATGTGTAGAAGTTATGGCGCGTTTCCACTGCAGCGGGTAGCCCCGTTTAAGCGTCCTTAAGCGTCCTTAACCGTCCTCAAGCGGCCAGGCCGGTTTTTGGTGGCGTTTCCATATAGCCTAGTACCGGCCAGCGGGTACTTTTTCCCTCTTTTTCCGGCCTCATAAAATCGTGGTTCCCTTAGCCAGGGCTGAACTAGTGACGTCAACACTCTCGACTGCTGATTGGTCATAGAGAATCGTCACAAGATTGTGCGCGAGTTCATCCCTAGCGTCGCATATATATCTAGAAGCAAGCTTGCAGCATTTTTATACACAGCATTTTGTAAACGGAGGAGCTACAAAAATGGCTACTTCTAAGAAAAGCACAACGTGGTCGACCGAGGAGGTGACGACGTTCCTACATCTCATTGGGGATGATCAAATCCAGCGGGAACTCGACGAAACAACTCAAAATGTGAACAAAAACAAAGCCGATCGCCCCGCCTACACTGCGTTGCTACCCCAGGTCCTAAACTGTAATGGAAATGCGCCACGGCCTGGGCCGGCCAGCGAGGCAGCCCGAGGCCAGAGCGAGGACGCTTAGGGACGCTTAAACGGGGCTACCCCGCTGCAGTGGAAACGTGCCATTATGGCGCGTTTCCACTGCAGCGGGTAGCCCCGTTTAAGCGTCCTTAAGCGTCCTTAACCGTCCTCAAGCGGCCAGGCCGGTTTTTGGTGGCGTTTCCATATAGCCTAGTACCGGCCAGCGGGTACTTTTTCCCTCTTTTTTCCGGCCTCATAAAATCGTGGTTCCCTCAGACCAGGGCCAGGGCTGAACTAGTGACGTCAACACTCTCGACTGCTGATTGGTCAGAGAGAATCGTCACAAGATCGTGCGCGAGTTCATCCCTAGCGTCGCATATATATCTAGAAGCAAGCTTGCAGCATTTTTATAAACAGCATTTTGTAAACGGATGAGCTACAAAAATGGCTACGTCTAATAAGAAAAGCACACCGTGGTCGACCGAGGAGGTGACGACGTTCCTACATCTCATTGGGGATGATCAAATCCAGCGGGAGCTCGACAGAACAACTCGAAATGTGAACAAAAACAAAGCCGATCGCCCCGCCTACACTGCGTTGCTACCCCAGGTCCTAAACTGTAATGGAAATGCGCCACGGCCTGGGCCGGCCAGCGAGGCAGCCCGAGGCCAGAGCGAGGACGCTTAGGGACGCTTAAACGGGGCTACCCCGCTGCAGTGGAAACGCGCCATTAGTGTCAGTGTGAGTGGAGTGTGCGGTAGAACCCACGAAGTGTACTTGACCTGTTATCATCTGTCTTCAAATACTAGTTATTAAAGCCTAATAACTACAAGCCTGTCTCCGACTCATCTTGGGAACGTTACAATACGTTACGTAATTGTACCTCACTAACTTTTTACTGCAAATGTCATGTCGCGATACATTATAATCTTTTTTAGAATGTAATATATTGCAATTAGAAGTAACTTGAAGTGGTCATTGTTTGACTTTAAAAGGAAATATTATGCTGATGTTCAGGTGTATATCAGTATGTAGTGTCTCTACTTTAAAGAGTCCTCTCCTGCTGATGTTCAGGTGTATATCAGTATGTAGTGTCTGTACTTTAAAGAGTCCTCTCCTGCCGATGTTCAGGTGTATATCAGTATGTAGTGTCTCTACTTTAAAGAGTCCTCTCCTGCTGATGTTCAGGTGTATATCAGTATGTAGTGTCTCTACTTTAAAGAGTCCTCTCCTGCTGATGTTCAGGTGTATATCAGTATGTAGTGTCTCTACTTTAAAGAGTCCTCTCCTGCTGATGTTCAGGTGTATATCAGTATGTAGTGTCTGTACTTTAAAGAGTCCTCTCCTGCCGATGTTCAGGTGTATATCAGTATGTAGTGTCTCTACTTTAAAGAGTCCTCTCCTGCTGATGTTCAGGTGATATATCAGTATGTAGTGTCTCTACTTTAAAGAGTCCTCTCCTGCTGATGTTCAGGTGTATATCAGTATGTAGTGTCTCTACTTTAAAGAGTCCTCTCCTGCTGATGTTCAGGTGTATATCAGTATGTAGTGTCTCTACTTTAAAGAGTCCTCTCCTGCTGATGTTCAGGTGTATATCAGTATGTAGTGTCTCTACTTTAAAGAGTCCTCTCCTGCTGATGTTCAGGTGTGTATCAGCATATAGTGTCTCTACTTTAAAGAGTCCTCTCCTGCTGATGTTCAGGTGTATATCAGTATATAGTGTCTCTACTTTAAAGAGTCCTCTCCTGCTGATGTTCAGGTGTATATCAGTATGTAGTGTCTCTACTTTAAAGAGGAGTCCCTCATTCAGGTTTCTCTACTAGCCCCTGCTGATGTTCAGGTGTATATCAGTATGTAGTGTCTCTACTTTAAAGAGTCCTCTCCTGCTGATGTTCAGGTGTATATCAGTATGTAGTGTCTCTACTTTAAAGAGTCCTCTCCTGCTGATGTTCAGGTGTATATCAGTATGTAGTGTCTCTACTTTAAAGAGTCCTCTCCTGCTGATGTCCAGGTGTATATCAGTATATAGTGTCTCTACTTTAAAGAGTCCTCTCCTGCTGATGTTCAGGTGTATATCAGTATGTAGTGTCTCTACTTTAAAGAGTCCTCTCCTGCTGATGTTCAGGTGTATATCAGTATGTAGTGTCTCTACTTTAAGAGTCCTCTCCTGCTGATGTTCAGGTGTATATCAGTATGTAGTGTCTCTACTTTAAAGAGTCCTCTCCTGCTGATGTTCAGGTGTATATCAGTATGTAGTGTCTCTACTTTAAAGAGTCCTCTCCTGCTGATGTTCAGGTGTATATCAGTATGTAGTGTCTCTACTTTAAAGAGTCCTCTCCTGCTGATGTTCAGGTGTATATCAGTATGTAGTGTCTCTACTTTAAAGAGTCCTCTCCTGCTGATGTTCAGGTGTATATCAGTATGTAGTGTCTCTAATTTAAAGAGTCCTCTCCTGCTGATGTCCAGGTGTATATCAGTATGTAGTGTCTCTACTTTAAAGAGTCCTCTCCTGTTGATGTTCAGGTGTATATTAGTATGTAGTGTCTCTACTTTAAAGAGTCCTCTCCTGCTGATGTTCAGGTGTATATCAGTATGTAGTGTCTCTACTTTAAAGAGTCCTCTCCTGCTGATGTTCAGGTGTATATCAGTATGTAGTGTCTCTACTTTAAAGAGTCCTCTCCTGTTGATGTTCAGGTGTATATCAGTATGTAGTGTCTCTACTTTAAAGAGTCCTCTCCTGCTGATGTTCAGGTGTATATCAGTATGTAGTGTCTCTACTTTAAAGAGTCCTCTCCTGCTGATGTTCAGGTGTATATCAGTATGTAGTGTCTCTACTTTAAAGAGTCCTCTCCTGCTGATGTTCAGGTGTATATCAGTATGTAGTGTCTGTACTTTAAAGAGTCCTCTCCTGCCGATGTTCAGGTGTATATCAGTATGTAGTGTCTCTACTTTAAAGAGTCCTCTCCTGCTGATGTTCAGGTGTATATCAGTATATAGTGTCTCTACTTTAAAGAGTCCTTTCCTGCAGATGTTCAGGTGTATATAAGTATGTAGTGTCTCTACTTTAAAGAGTCCTCTCCTGTTGATGTTCAGGTGTATATCAGTATGTAGTGTCTCTACTTTAAAGAGTCCTCTCCTGATGATGTTCAGGTGTATATCAGTATGTAGTGTCTCTACTTTAAAGAGTCCTCTCCTGCTGATGTTCAGGTGTATATCAGTATGTAGTGTCTCTACATGTCTCCATGCTTTAATGTTCAAAAAGCTCTTTATTGTTCTCATACTGTCTGTGCTGCAGCACCTCTTTTCACCCTCTGTCTGAAACCAGAGCCCAGTCTGCTCTGATTGGTTAGCTGGCCGGCTCTGTTGTGATTGGTCAACCGCTTAGAGATTAACCACCCCTTAACCTGTCACGTACAAGTGTTGAGCACTAACCAATAGAAGCGTGAGTGTTACATAGTGATGTCACTATGTTACTGAAGTAAACAAAGTGTCTGATTCCTTCCCTAATCCTGTTGACAGACAGATGGAAAAAACAAGCCAAAACATAACCTAATGGTAGAATTAAGAAGAAGACTAAAGATTAAAGAACAATAACGTATACATCAGAATTAAGGCCCTTGTTCTGCCATTTCCAAACTAATTATCTATCACACTAGCATGAACTAAGACAGGTGTTCAGTGCGCGCTCTCACCCACTCAGATCATTCAAAACCTACTGAGGTCTACTGATCTGATAAATATCCTCCGTCACATAATCAAGAACCTGTTGCCTTACTGTGTGAGAGAAAGAGTTGGCACTGCAGGTGCTGTGAGATAGCTAGGGAAAAGGCTTTATTGGATATCATTCACCCTTTTGCTAAAACAGGTTGTGGGTAGAATGCATTCTGGTGTAGCTTAATGGAGTAAATGTTTATTTTGATAATCAACCAGTGATACAAGCATTATTATGTATAAGAAGTATGTTTACAATGCATTATAAGGCATCATAGGAAGCGTAACCTACATTATTGAATAACTGACATCCATATCCACACATGTATTCTGTACCTGGTCACCCATGTCCAGCTGGTATTCAAAGCAGTCGGGGTTGAGGTTGGGGTCGGCTCGACTGTGGGGCAAACCCCATGTCACCAATAGACCTCCATCTTTGATTGATGCAGAGATGTTTTGGGGTGGAGACAGGACCTCTGTGGCACACACAACGACAACATTAGTAAAATAATTATTAAAAATGCAGGCGGAACTGCGGATTTCCATTAGCAACTAAGCTTACAACCATATGTTACTATCCACTGAAAAAAACCAACAATAGCTTTCCTGTCACTCCATTATCAAGCTTATTTCATGGTGGTATTGCCCTATTGGTTACCTTTTGACCCCTAGAAGTGAGATAAACCCCCTACTCAAGAGCTCAATGAGAGTTTGTCTTGTATTACCTAGCATGCCGAGGTCGTATTTGGAGTTGTAGACTGTCCAGTTGTCGCGCAGGGTGACGTTGAAGTGTAGGATTAAATATGACATCTTGTGATCATGCAGAGCTAAAGACCTTGATCCGACTTTCTCCTCAGACGACAGGTCAGGAGACTGAACTGATTTGTTACCAGCACAGATGCTGCATGAAAACAGAAGAGAATGTGAGGATGCCTTTAATTATTCATAAATACTCTCTATGCCACATGTGTAATGTATCATTTAAAAAAATACCTGATGTTGACAAAGAGCTGAGTATCCTGCTGCACGGTGTTGAATGACCAGGAGCAGTTGAGTATATTTGTTGGGTAAAGGACGCAGGTAAGGTCTATATTTTCCAGCTCTACCTCATGCCCCTGCACTGAAGTACTCTGTACATCAATCTGAAAAAAGTACCACAAACAACAAGAACAGTAGAAATCAGAAAATACATCTGCATTAAAGGGGTGGCTTTCCTGTGTGTTACCTTTGGACAATATAAACAAAATGGATTCTCACTTTATCAGAAGACATTGTATCCTCACAGACATCTGAAATGTCCGCCTCTATTAAAGGAGTAAATACGTTTGGAGTTTTAGGACGGGGGGGAAACCAAAGGCAACGGATGGTCAAGTTCTAACTTTAAAGACCCTCACACACAAGTGGTCCAATGTAAGCATCAATGCATTTCCTTTCAGATTATACAGCATATGAAGGCATATTTTATTCAAAGTGCACCATGCTTAATTAATCCACATTTTTGGGTATTTTCCGTGATTTAGGAAGAATGTGTGTGCGTCAAGCGTGCCTGCGTGTTACCTACCAATTTGTAAGGCAAACAAAACCAGCAAACTGGACCAAAGTATTGGATGTGCAGGAAACATCTTCATAGCATACCTAAGGGTTTCAGACCAACACACACACACACACACACACACACACACACACACACACACACACACACACACACACACACACACACACACACACACACACAGAAAGACATTAACATGACCCCATAATCCTGAGCGTACAGTATCTGGCACCCACGTACATAGAGAACCTCTTGTATTGTACACATTTCCTGTCTGTTAATACTTCCCCTTTTTAGGTGGCGGTGCTTAAAGTTAGTGACTGACAGTGAGACATATGTATGGCGTGTAATTAAATTGAAAGAAACAGCTTTCCTCATATGAATCTTACTTTTCGTCCTGGTTCAATTAGATTTCTACAAAAGCTTTTACATTTTCCACACAAAATAAAAAGTTAGCAATGCTTTGGTCAACTTTTCTCTCTGAAGGTGATAAACCATAGACTGCATATATAAAGGGAAAACCCATGCTTAGCTATTCTAGGTGTAAGCCTTCTTGAATACAATGTTAAAGAATCCATCTACAGTCCAATGTGGTAAATAGTAGTAATAGGAAACCGTTACCTCCCGCTGACCCTCCACTCTGACAGTGCTCTCGACGACTGAAGACAGTGAAACATTTCTGGGGAAAGAAGAAGCATGACGTCACACACTGTACAAGGCTTCAGGAAACACGAGGCTTCTTCCTGTCACTTCATTTCTGTTTTTTGGATTAATACACTGCAAAATCCAAATATGTCTTTTCAAAAGCAATGTGTTGGTAGTAAATACAGTAAAGACTATAGAGTAAAACTAAGACAATGGACAATTCATGAAATGTGTTCATTTTTTTCGAGCAGGTCGCGACTTGTGCCATGATATTTCTAAATAAATGTTGAGCTGGACACTGGTACATTGACTTTCATTCAACCTGTAAGTTCATTTAAAAGGTTTCTCAAGTTATTGGATGTTGTTCTGTCTTGCCTTGAAAACATATTACTACTTAATCTATAGGTTGCTAATTTAGAAACTGAGAACATAAAAGAATTACATCAAAATTAAAACAATGAGAAATTTGTATTCATAATTAAGCATATATTTCCTGGAAGTACGTTCTTTATTTACAACTAGACGCAGCTATACAAGAGCCTGCTGTCAGTGATGGAGGAGGCTGCAGGAGACAATCCTTCACATTACCAACATATCACTACCCTGCAGTATACAAAGTCCTTCAGACTAGCTGCACCTTTACCAGCTTTGAGAACACTTTCATGATCAATCATTATAAAACATATCATATATATTATTCTGAAATGGACCAATCTGCACAATGACTACTTTTACTGTCGCTACTTTCACTATATTTTGATGAGAATACTTTTATACTTTCACTTGAGGAACATTTTGAATGCAGTACTTTTACTGAAACAGAGTATTCCTACACTCTGGTACTTCTACTTTTACTCAAGTACAAGATCTGAGTACTTCTACTTTTACTCAAGTACAAGATATGAGTACTTCTGCTTTTACTCAAGTACAAGACCTGAGTACTTCTACTTTTACTCGAGTACAAGCTCTGAGTACTTATTTTACTCAACTACAAGATCTGAGTACTTATTTTACTCAAGTACAATATCTGAGTACTTCTACTTTTACTCAAGATCTGAGTACTTCTACTTTACTCAAGTACAAGATCTGAGTACTTCTACTTTTACTCGAGTACAAGCTCTGAGTACTTATTTTACTCAACTACAAGATCTGAGTACTTATTTTACTCAAGTACAATATCTGAGTACTTCTACTTTTACTCAAGATCTGAGTACTTCTACTTTACTCAAGTACAAGATCTGAGTACTTCTACTTTTACTACAGTAACAGATCTGAGTACTTCTACTTTTACTCAAGTACATAATCTGAGTACTTCTACTTTTACTCAAGTACAAGATCTGAGTACTTCTACTTTTACTCAAGTATAGGATCTGAGTACTTCTACTTTACTCAAGTACAAGATCTGAGTACTTCTACTTTTACTCAAGTATAGGATCTGAGTACTTCTACTTTTACTACAGTAACAGATCTGAGTACTTCTACTTTTACTCAAGTACATGATCTGAGTACTTCTACTTTTACTCAAGTATAGGATCTGAGTACTTCTACTTTTACTACAGTAACAGATCTGAGTACTTCTACTTTTACTCAAGTACATGATCTGAGTACTTCTACTCAAGTATAGGATCTGAGTACTTCTGCTTTTACTACAGTAACAGATCTGAGTACTTCTACTTTTACTCAAGTATAGGATCTGAGTACTTCTACTTTTACTCAAGTATAGGATCTGAGTACTTCTACTACAGTAACAGATCTGAGTACTTCTACTTTTACTACAGTGCCAGATCAGCGTACTTCTCCCCCCTCAGTTAACTTTGCTCTTTTCGTTGATCTTGATATTGTGACTCTGTGTCTCCATCTTGTGGCGGATCAACAAACAGCACGACAACAGCTCAGAGGTAAATACTATTCATTTATTTCAGGACCATTAAAACCATTAAACATCACAAGTCATTAGGATAAAACCCTGCTGGTCTCAGGTCAGCTGAGCAGGTCGAAGCAGACAGGAATGTGATCACAAACCGCAGAGTGAGAACAGGAAGATTATCATCACTCCTTCACCCAGAGCATCACAAATACACAGCTTCCTTTAGACAATTACCAACATGACTAATCAGAACTCACTTCATTGACTCATTGAGGTTCAGAAAAAAAGAATTAGACATGAGGCGTTGAATAAACAGCTTCGTTAAGAACTCGTTAACACTTTGCAAATATACACAAGAGGAGAGACTGTGCTGACTATTTACCGTGTATCATTATTATGACCTTTTTAGAGAATAACTTGGTACTGCAACAGCAGGTAGAAGAGGGGGGGGGGGTCTTTGTACCAATTGTTCTAATCTTTAATTAACGTTAGAGCCTGATGCACGAAAACTGGAAGTGTGGGAAACAATCAGGACTTCATTTATCTCAAAATGTTGTGTGTTATTTACCAATTCGGGTCATTTAAAAAAAAAGTATGTTGAATATCAAGGATAGCAACATTTACGTTCGTCCACTAATATTTAGTTTAAGGCTCCGATTTGCATTATAAGCGACTGAAAACACTAGAAATAAACCTTCTGTGTGTGTTTGTTGGTCTGTATGGTAAATATAAAGCTACAGCCGGTTGCTGCTTAGCTTAAAGACTCAACAATCTCAAAAATAGCTTTCTATCCAATTTGTGCAAAACCCATTGAGTTATGCCTCAGCCAAGTCGCAGCGCGAGGTGACTAGATGTTAATTGGAATAATTATTTTTGAAATGTAGTATTGAGTATCAAGAGTATCGAGGGGAATATGTGCATCTCTTGTCAAAGTTACATCTATGAAATGATTGTACCACTGATGGTTTACCTTTCACTTTGGGTTATGTGTTGGTCTGTACGTTTGAAGCTACAGCTAGCCCCTTGTTAGCTTAGCTTAGCATAACGACTGGAAACACTCAACAATCCCCAATTACAAACAAAAAAATGGACGCTCTGAACCATAATCAGTCACAGCGTTAAGTGATATTATATTATTTGGGACTTTTATTTTTAAATTTGGTCGAGTATTAAGATAGAAGTCCTACAGGAAACTTCAAATGTTGTTTTTTTAACTTGCAAACTTTGGATATTTTCTAACTTTGGTTTGTTTTTTAAAAATGTTTTGACATTAGCAAATGTTCCCCACTTCTTAAATAAAGGTAT